AATTCAAAAATGTATTCATTTCATTAAAAAATAACGATATACAATTGAAAACAAAGAAATTGCACAAATCAAAATGAACTGAAAATGAAAGGTAGCAGAAGAAGAATAAATCTTATGTCTGCCCTTTTATCCCCAGAATATATTCAAACAAAAATAATTTGAAAATACTAAATAAAACATAAACTCAAACAACAATTCATATAGATTCACATTATACTTTTCCATGTACCTTAAAAAAAAACTAGCTATTATCTTTCTCTTAAATATATACATAGATCTGGCATTTTTAAGATCATCCTCCAGAACATTCCACAGTCCTAAACCCTGGATTAAACTGTACCCTGGATTAAAGTACATCTTTCTTTTAAACTGGTATGAAACCAAGGCCTCAAGAACATTTCCATCCTCTTAATAACTGTGTCTCTTAACAAAATTTGCCTGAATGTTGGAAGGTAATATGTTTCTGTGAGCCTTGTACATAAACAGTAAAATATTATAGTCAAATTATAGAATTTCTAAATTTTCAGTTTGCAAAATAATGTATTTGATGGATGGTTGTAATGTTTTCTAGTGATAATTCTCACGGCTATTTTCTGTAAAATAAAAATCGATTTGTAATTGTTTTGCAAGCTTTACCCCAGACTTCAATACAATAGATTAAATGTGGAGCAATTATTGCATTAAATAACACAAGCAGAGCTTTATCATTAAATAACTCTCGACTTTATACAGTGGTACTGTCAATTCTATTTAAATTTTTCTTAGTTTTTAAAAGGCATAATGCTTTGCTAATGCCATTTTTTTACAGATTTAATGTTCCTTTTACTGAGCCATGCACAGCTCAAAGCAGGAAATGACACCCCCCGCCCTGTGTTTACTCTCGTGTTCATCAGCATCCCTTTGTGCGGGGGAATGTTTGACCGAAGTCTGTACTTGGAGGGCATCAGGAGGAGGATGACCACCAGGGAGCTGAAGAGGAAGGAGGCCATGAAAAGCCAAAGCAGCAGCACCGTCTGCAGCATCTCCTGAACGCTTAAATGAACTCTCCAGGATGGGCCGGATCAAACCAGCACCACAGGCGGGGACCAAGGACCATAAAGGAAACCGAGGCTGTCTTAAAGCGTACTTGAGGACGAGAACCTTAAAGCAGCAGAGCCTTTATTTATTTATCCAGCCTTTTCTACTCAAACACGACTTGGACCATTAACCGTCCTGTACTGACTGATTTACAAACTGCAAACATTTCTGTAAGCTTTTTACAAGCATCATGACCCATAATGTTACCTTTTAATGCCTTGTGATTTATAGTACACTAAACCTAATGGAGGTGAACATTTAGGTGTTTAAACTTACTTGAATTTTAATGTTTCGTTGGGGGGATAGGAGCCGTTACATTATTGATGAGGTCACAAATGAGGGTACGACTTGTTTCAGGGAGATCTGATGTATTTAATGCTTTTTTTCCCCCTCTAGGAATGCACTACCTATACAGAAAAATACATTCTGATTAGAAATACTGCGGTTTTTACACCAAGTGTTCCTCTGCAGCAAACTAACTCGCCTTACTTCCTATGTAAAACTATAAATGTACTGTATGTAGCACTTGTTCGCATTCTAAGCTTAAAAAGCTTTATACTTCCTTTCAGAAGTGCCTGAGGGGCTTGTTTTTATACCAGCAAAACCTCATAACTGTAACTAATGTAACATCCTGTAATAAATGTTTTAAAGCCTACATCGTTGCCAAGTTTTGTTCCCAATTTTGCAAAGAAACGACACAGATTTCCCCCATAGTTCAGCCACAGCTACATAAGATTTTGGTTTAATTCGAACAAAAACTAAAACATTTAATTAATAAAAATTCAACGTATAAAAACACAACTGGGTGCTTGTCAATGTGAAGAAATCCCCAAAGAAACAGTCCGGCACAGGAAAGACATTTCAAAGTTGCCATTTTAAAATTTTGTTGTACAATATAAACAGACATGTTCTCCGTTAATATGTCAGCTTTAACTGATTTATATATTCTCAGTTATGTTTAGAGGCTTAAACATTGAGTGACAATCTCATGTTTTTCAAACCAAATCTGTGCTTTGCCTATTTCACATTTGGCAGAATAAAACAAATATCACATTTAAAGCCCATTTACAGGATATTGATACAATTTCAGATTTTGAGCAAACCATGAAGTCATCACTATTCAAAAAAATTTACTGAGTACCTTTAGCTGTGCATCACAACCCTTATTTATTTGAAGGTACTTTATAAAATGTTCTTGTACAAATACTTCAGACAGCTGAAGTGGCATTAAAATGTGAAATGTTTTTTTTTTTAACTTTACTCATTGCAAAGATTCAGAGTAACATTCATTCAAAAACAGGCCAGTTTTGGGAGTTTTAAAGGGAAAATAATGTAAATTTTTTTTTTGTATTTTAGGGCATACCAAGCTGGCTCTGATAGATAATAAATAGAAAATTTCTAGCTTCTTTCAGATTAAGATTACTGTGAAGCAGAATTAGTTTATTTAAAATCTCACCTTCTTTTCCTGTCAGAAACCAGGTATTAGTCCCCTGCCAGACTGAGTTCTGTGTCAGGAGGGAGGGAACACTAGCATAAGCATTCAGTCCAGTTTATTTACAGTGATGCCGGATATCTACTGGAAGAGGCGGTAAATGCGTGGCAGGCGTCCGTCTTTGCTCGACAGAGCGGCCTGAATGTGTTCGTACGAGGGCAGCTCCGTCAGGTCCCCCAGAGCCGCCACCGCAGGTTTACTGCGCAGCATCTTGGCGGTCACTCTTTTAATGTCATCGGCTGTCACGCTGCCTGCAAGTGATTTCAACATCAATTAGACTGAATAATTAAGAATACAGATGATTGTTTTTTTCTTTAAACTTACTAATTAGATCACAGAGCTCATGAGGCAGCTTTCTCTTCCCGGTGGAGAGAACTTGTCGTCCAACATCCTCAAAGATAACAGGCCGCGACTCGAGATTCATCATCAGCATAGACTTTAGCTGAGTCTTCGCTCTCTCCAGCTCCAACTGGTATAAAAGGGGAGAAATGTAAATACCTGGCCTTTTTTACACTATAATAATAATGAAGCTATTCTGTGATGCTCCTTACCTCTCCTGCACTTCCACCCATCAGAATGAACTCCCTGGTGATAATTTCCACCATCTCCCGCACCTGGACAAGCGTGTTGACAGTAAAAACAGCAGCTGCATCAATCACATTATTATTTAAGGCCCTGTTACACTATAACATTTAGAGAACTTAAAGTAGACATATGCTTTTAAATCCTTCATTTCACATTTAAATCATTAAGTTGGGTCTTTATAAAGGGGAACTGCAATGCTTTGGTCTGAATTCCTCCTCACTCTAACTTTACCAGCTCCTCTTTCAGCACTTTTCTGTCACGGGTGAATACCTTTGTTCTCGCAATAAGTCATTACAAACATGGCGGCAATGGATGTAAACACATAGCATATTGCTACCACGGTACTAGAGCTCATCATCAGAGGAGACGTCGGCGTCTTATCGAGGCTTTCGAGTGACAAGCCCCTTATACTTGGGAGCGGCTGCGTATGCTGCGTTTTTTTGGGAAATTGTAGTCGTGAGTTTAATACTTTCTTTTACAACTTCTATGATTTTAATATTACTTCTACTTCCAGTTGTCTTCTTCGTTGTCTTTTTTGCCAGTAGAAATAGCCGGTTGTTGATCAAGTGACTCCCGTGATGCGAAAAAAGTCTTTCCATTGCAGTTTTGCGAAATATACCAATTTCGATATGGCCGAAAAACCACATCCTAGCACAAAAACATTTTGTCAAAAAAAAAAAAAAAAAAAAAAAAAAAAGGAAGTTTTTTCAAAACTGGTGCGTTTCCATTGAGCAAATTTATTTTCGAAATTCTAATTTGCGCATTTTCATGGTCAATGGAAACGCAGCTTATGATGCAAGCCATCTTCCAGTGTTGTGGTTAAAACACRTGCATCAAGCTGTCACAGATCTGACTGCAAAAGTAAAATGCATGTGATGTGCACACCGTGTTAGGTATTAAAGTTCGAATAAAGGGAATTACTTTTTAAAGTGTCTTACCAAATAAGGACAGCCTAGCAAAAAAGAAAAAAAAGTGACGATTGACAGTTATACAGATGTTAAACTCATTCTTATTTAGGCTTTTAGGTATTTTCTTTGGGATTATATGAAATTCCTGTATGTAGCGCTTCAGCTAGCTGCTGCTAATGCTTTTTGTGCTATTTAAATAATAATAATTAATAATTAATTATTAACAATTGATTAACTGGCAGAAGTGTAAATATTTTCACATGAATTGCTATTACATATTTGGGGATAGGAGTTGTTTTAAGATGGCATCAACGCACCTTTATTTTAGCTACTTTAGCACTAGCCGCTAGTTTGTAGATTCTGTCGGGTTTAAAATTTGTTTTTCAATCTTTTCACCGAGTCAGTTTTACAGGTAAGTTATCAGACTTCTATAAATTTTCCACAGAATCACATTTAGAAATATTCATAATATTTTTTCACAGCCAACATATACTAGCATTATTTTCTTTTTGTTTTTAATCAGGCCTGCAATAGGCAGCCATTTCTGTTTCACATGTACGATGTTTTGATGTCCACTGTAGAAGACATGAGATATATCAAAAGTAAAAACTTATTTTTTCCAAAAACAATTTTCAGTATTCTAA